TCTTTTGACTCTCTTGGGAATGCTTGCAACCCATCAATTGTAAAACATGTTTAGCTCACAGACAAATTGCACGTTGAATATATAAAAACGATGTAACATATTTTTAGATGAACGCTATTTAATACACTAGTGGTTACTAAGAGAACACGAGAGAAGCGAAGGAAACCACTGCGCGAATCTTTAGCATAAAATGACAAGCTCACAAACTGAGGAAAGACGTTTTAAATTTTTCCATAAACGTTCAATTTGTCTGGCTTTTAGAATTGCTGGCTGTCACTAATGAGGACCGTTTGATTACGTCACTCGTTAATATCACGCGATATTCACCTAAGTATCGCCCTGTACTCAACACCAGTGAGCCTGTCATGGTGCAACATGGTCTGATCCTCAGGATGATTGCTAATGTGGTGAGTAAAATCTTCCCTGTGAACAGGGCTGGTCTGAATTAACATCAAAAACACTTAGAAGATATAATTAGATAAAAACTAGTGTGAGCTGCGTCGGTGTTTCTAATGAAACAGTAATGATAAAAAGGTAAATTATACACCGTGAAAAGATGAAAAAACTTACTGACGTTTGGGACGCTAGTCCTTCGTCGGACGTCGGCAAAAACACTTAAATGTAGTGGTTGATTTAATTGTATTTTTTCCCATAGGACGAGAAGAATATGGTTTTGTCAACAATTGTAAGAATGCACATGGTGAGATATCTGATATTTTTTATGCTTTCGTCTCAATTTGACTACTCTGGCGGGTTACAAGTGCTCTCTCGCACCAGTCTATCCCAGTCGTAAATTTCGGTGATAAAGTTTTATCGTTTTTCATATTCTATCTACAAGATATGATACCCTTTATTTAACTATTGACCTATAGGGATGGCAAGACAAGCACTTAACATGGGACCCAGCGACCTATGGAGGGTTAAGACAAGTACATCTGGATGCAAACGACATATGGACACCACCACTAATACTCTACAATAAGTATGTCTCTTCAATATTCTACAACATTCATAGAAATCTTAAAAACCTTCAAATGTTCTCAATATTATCAATACTCTGAAACGACTACTAGCTGGGCTGATCAATTTTATTATTTAAGAACATGCGTAAAAGGTAAATTACGAGCCTTGTATTTTATTATTATTCTGCACAGCGATTATTTAGTTATTATCTTATATTTATACATATTCTTATTGCACTCTTCTTGATACGTGAGAGCTGAAGAGAAATAAAGTAGATATATCCTTTTCATGGCGTGGAAAACCATTTTACTGGGTTGCCTGTGGAAGGCCAGTAGAAGTTGAGTCAAAAGTCTATTAGTATGCAAACCATTCTTATTCTTGCTTTTACTTGCAGTGCTGATGGACCTCTTGAATACTCCAAGGTACGTGCCCTCGTAAAGCATGATGGGAATGTCACGTGGTTGGTTGCCACGATGATCAAGAGCTCCTGTAATATCGATGTCAAGCATTTTCCATTTGATGAGCAGGTAAAGTTAAGATATACCCAAAGAAGAGAAAATAACTGGGCTGGATTGAGATTTTAATTGTTTATCAACGACTAATGTAAAATAAGACGTTAAAAAAACATGGCGTTGACCTTTCTAAAAAAAACCTTTAAAATTGTATCGAACAACCTTTTGGCTGGGAACGGCTAAGGTTAGGGCACGGCTAGCTCGCATATAGAATTGGAATTTAGCTGGTTAGGTTTTGCGGAGGGAGGAAAACTGGAGCAGCGTGAGAAAAACCGTGGAATCAAGGGAGAGAATTAACAAACCCTACTCCATGTACCGTGATGTCGAGCCCAGGAATCTAACCTAAGACACCACATATTGACCTTAATCTTGGTTCCCATCTTTAATGGGATAGAGAAAACTTGCTTTGGAAAGTAATTCGTAATAATTACGAACATAATTTGCCAATTGATTAAGAAAATAAACGCAAGCATTGCTGGACGTTTCAATGACATCCTGTCAACATTTTCAACAACATTTAATGACAGAGCAAGCGTGAATTACTGTTATGACAAAGTAAATATATGTACATATCCAAACAAAAAGTTTTGCTTGCCAAATTAGATTAATTGATAAAAATTTTAGAATGATCGATTAAAACTCGGCGATCAGAAGAAAGAATTCGGGCTTTTTGCGATTTCCAATCACTTACAGAAATTCGAAAAATTCTTCACAGAAACTCCATATAATAAATGTGTTACAGTAGAAGTTTGTATAGTTATCATGCAGTTTAAGGCCTTTTTTAGTGTTTTGAAATTGATGTAACATGGAACCGCGATTTAGCCTCCAGTAGCACCTTAAAACATCTGTGGCCATCAATGTTTCATCTTGAATCACAGAACGACTTATTTCCTATCTTACAGCTTTGTAAGTTAACATTTGGTTCCTGGAGCCATGACGTCACAAAGCTGAACATCCAATCACTGCAAAGCACAGTAGGCACATCAAGATACTTGACCAATGGCGAGTGGACTTTGAAGAGCACAAGAGCAGAGAGGACACAGGTATCCCACATCTGCTGCAAGCACGATGTGGCCAGGATAACGTATACTATTCGCATCAAGAGAAAAACGCTTTTTTACATGACCAACTTCATCCTTCCATGTGCAATCATTGCTTTCCTAACATTACTGGTCTTTCTAACCCCTGTGGGTAAGTCAATATACCGTATAGTCGTATATAATAGTAAGTACCGTATAGGCACAGTCTTGTTTTCTAACCAAATAGTCGTATAGAATAGTAGGTACCGTATAGACACAGTCTTGTTTTCTAACCAAGTTTATCTTTTATAATGTTATTATTTATAATTAACAGAAACTGGCGAACGTATGGCGGTAGGAGTGACTATTCTCCTTGCCCTAGCAGTGTTCTTCCTCATGCTCGAAGCTACGATGCCCAAATCCAACGACCTACCCTTGCTTGCTAAATACTACTGCTGTACCGTTATTGAGATTGTGTGTGGGCTTGTGGCAATGAGTTGGATCTTAAGACTTGTACATCATAGCCCTGAGCCACTCTATCATTGGATAAAGGTATGTTAATGAGATCGATGGGGAGTGGGAGAGATATCTGTACTGTATACTGGTTAATGATAATGATAATGAGATTCAAGTAACTGATTTAATTAGTACATGGTAATGAGATTCATTCAGCTGATTGAACCAAGCAATAGAATACTCTCTGCTGGTTGATAACACATGACGGGCCAATCCCGTACCCAGAGCCTGCGTTTCTTTTGGCCTGCGGTGAAGAATGGGGGCTCTGGCATAATCCATTTTTTGAGACCAGGATTTCTTGGACTTCCGGTATAACAGCGCACGTGCTCAAAGACTTGCCAAAAATCAAAAATATCTCGTTTCCCGATTTTTGATTTTTACTCTGATTTTTGCTTTGATTTAACTTTTACTTTGAACAGAACAGAACAGAAGTTTATTGCTCTTAAATATTAATTACATTTGGTAACAATATAGAGAAATTTAAATACAATATGAATGTATAATAAATATCTATAATAAAGTGATAACTAGGAAAATTTACACTAATTTCTATTCATATCATTTGTGCATATGACAATACACGGACTGAGAATAGAGATTAGTTGAGATATTTGAGCCTGGAGGACAAATTAACAGTGACGTTTTCTAGTTGTCCCCCAGGCTCTTTATATTTACTTAAATAAAAGTTAAGGAAGCAATGCAAAGTTAAATCATATTAGAAAAAAAATATGCAGAGAAAAATGACAAATATTTATGTTGGTGACATGTGTAAAGGATAGAGAGATTTTTGATTCATTTATTATCATATATACGAGATACTGAAATATATATTGATATCATAGAAATGAAGAAAAAGCAGAATAGAACTCTAGTTGAGATAAATCTTATATTGTACACTAGAAATACTTATAATCTCTGATTTGAAAGATAGTGATCTTTTAATTTTCTTTTAAAGGAGAATGTTTTTGAGTTTTTGATATGCATTGCCTGTGTTTTCCAAAGAACAACAGCAGCAAATGATACTTTGCTTATTTTGATCGTTTATATTTCACTTTCCGAAAATTGCGTATGCGCCAAAGTATGGATTATGCCAGAGCCCTTGTTTTTCGCCGCAGGCCAGAAGAAACGCAGGCTCTGGGTACGAGATTGATGACGGGCAGTGTTCGCCTGTCATTGTAGATGGTTATGAGCAACAGGTATCCCACAACATGTTTTACAGGAACGGTTCTTGTTGTATTCTAGAGAGTCGTCCTTGGATATGTTGCTCGGTTTTTACTTTACGACACTGGACATTTCGCAAAGCCAAACAAAATCAAAGTACAGGAAAAAACGAATGATGACAATCATGGAAGACTAGAAATAAAATATGCAACCAAATGGACAAGAAGTAAGTAGCAATGACACCGATATTTGGATATAACTCCTCAACGAAGAGGCCTGTTGGTCTAGTGGTATGATTCTCGCTTAGGGTGCGAGAGGTCCCGGGTTCAATTCCCGGACAGGCCCGTTTATTTTTCTTTCCCTCTTATTAAGAAATAAAACAAGGAAAAACCAACATTTTCCTCTTCTATATCATCACATATGCTAATAAATACGTCGTTCTCCTTTATGGATTTCATTTTTTTTACAGCTTTTAAATAAATATAAAGTTAAATTTCAATGTTAAAGTTAAATTTCAAGTGTTAACATTTCATAACAATTTAAAAATATTTTTGTGTGTGTAGAACTCAAGAACAAAAATACAATGCCCGATCCAGTTGCTGCAGAGAATAAAACGCTAAAAATCCTGACCCAAAACATTAAGGAAGAAGAGAAGACAGAAGGGATCAAAGAACAATGGCAGCTGGTGGCTAACGTCATGAACAGGCTTTTTACCTGTTTGTTCCTGCTTGCTGCTGTTGTAACGCTATTGGCTGTTTTCACAAATCATTAACTATCACATATTAATTGACCAATAGAATGGTTTAAAGAATGCGATGATGTATATACCAGTCCCTCTCAACAAAGAGAAAAGAGGAAAACTAAAACAATTTAAATTATGACACATGACACATTGAAAGAAACACGAAAGAAAGAAAGAAAGAAAGAAAGAAAGAAAGAAAGAAAGAAAGAAAGAAAGANAAAGAAAGAAGAAAGAAAGAAAGAAAGAAAGAAAGAAAGAAAGAAAGAAAGAAAGAATATTTAATAAGTTTATACTTTCCCAAGAAAGGTGACTTTTCTTGCATACAGGAGGCGAGGGTCGGCGTTTTTTAAATAAGTCACTAAACAGTCGGGTTTACGTTTATTCATCTTTCTAACGACATAACTGCGTAATTATTAATAATAAATAATACATGTTTGGACATACTTAGGTGTGACAACTTGTAGACGTTTTTTCTAGACATTGTACACCCTTATAGGTACTTATGCTATAACTATTTGTAAAATATTAATTTATTAATAATAATTTATATTAAAACTGTTGATAAGTACATTAAAGTCAGTTTAAAGACTTCAATGCTATGTCTGATTTTTTAAAAACACACACCCTTCGGCCTGCAAGCAACAAGCTATAACCACAGAAAATGCATATCTGTCATGAAGCACCCGCTATGACCTCCATCAAACAAACGTCAAATCTTATTGCATGTCCTGAAGCCTCTGAGCTGATCTAAGTCACGGATGTAGCCAACCTACTTAAGTCTACTGAGGTTTAGCTTGTGGCTTGTGACAACGAAAATGGAGTAAAACGACGTTTATTTGACAAGGACGATTTTTAATCGTTTTAGATTTATAGTGCTTATTCGAACAGTTTTAGTCCTAATGACCAAATTATATCGAGAGAATAACCATTTTCACGCGTTTAACGTTGGATAATTGATAACTTTAAGTTTGCGAACGAGATGCATTCTAGTCTAGTTCACGTCCTAAGAATCTTTTGTCACTCAGGTTTTAATAGTCTTGTTATGCTCGAGGCTAATACTACCGCCCTAACACTGTCACCCTTGATTATTACTGTACGAAATTCGGGATTTCCTTTCTGCCCGTGAAAGAAAACCAGGAAACCCCAGAGGTCAGTGAGCTAGCACATGTTAAGGACGTCACGTTACGTTGCGTGACAACAATGTCAGCGCATGCGCGGAGGGTTATACTTCTTTATGCTTCGCTAATTTTAATAGGACGATGTGCAAGGGATTCTGGTAGCAGGAGTCAAATGACGCCATCGTGCAAACGTCCTATATGAAGTTCTTCAAACGTGTCACAACCAATTTGATTATGTGTATGGAAAGGTATCTTGCTCGTCTAAGTGAGTAAAGGACCACGCGGGCGAACTATGATGAAATGTACAGGTGCTTAAATTTATATATGGACCGGTCCAAGATGGTTATATGATGCTCATTGGTCGAGAATATTGTTAGTTGAATGTTCATAGCCAAGTGTTGAAACTGAAGAAGAAATTTAAGAATATGAGATCAAGGTCTGACGAGGCATTATCACAATTGTTATTATCAATCATTATTAACCATTATTGGCAGACACACAATTATTTGTTTTAACAGTTTATCGATTATAAATTATCATTAATATATGAATATTACATTAATAATTGTCGCGACAATTATCCTTAACAGCTATTATTTTTGGCAATTAAAAGACTGTATATACAACTGTTATTATTAATAGCAATTAATATTTATTAGCAATTATTTTTAATATTGATATAAATTGTTAAATTTTCACTTTTGATTAAGAGTTTCAATATTAATATTAGCATAACATATAACTCATGCAAGTAGTTTTTCATTTAATTTCATTAAGCACCACATAACTTTTTCATTAATGATATCATAATATACTAATAAATAAAGAACGAAAACAAACAACAAAAACTCTTACGTAAGTTTTGTATTATCATACCCTACCCTTCCCCAACACAAATAATAGACTGTAAAAGTCAGATTGCAATGAAAAGGTAACATTCCTGAAAGGTCTGCTTTAAAGAGTTTAAATCTCACCGTATCCTGTGCTCAGTCATGCGGCAGGTCGCAAGAGTCATTTGGTTAGATTATTGCATTATTTCACGTATTCGTTCCCACTCACTTGGTAAAACAAAATTCCCTGATTTCCCCTGAATTTTTGCTGACCAAATCCCACTTTTCACTGTCTTTAACGAACACAAGTTTAGAACCATTTCTACTCAAACGTAAGAAGGTTACTCTCTTCTGAACTTCCACAAAATGCTTAAAAGGTTGTCAGTTTTCAATGACTTTTGATAAATTTCCCTGACTAGATGTAAAATTCCCTGAGCGGCTGCCTTTTTAATCATTCCCAGGGGAGTGAAAAAAACAAAAGGCATGGCGTACATGTTGGTTGGTATAACGAAAGAATTCATTGACAATTCTATATTCAACCAAGATGGCGGCTATGATGTCATTCGAAAACGAAGAATTCCCTGACCTTGAAGATTTTGGGATTTCAGTGACTTAAGGTCAGTGGGAACCCTGTCATGCAGATCAAGGATCGATTTGTTGGATTTTATCGGCTTTCACACGTTCGTATTGTGAACGAGCTTTTGCTCGCGTTGAAATAAACGATTCTATTCTATTCCTTTTGTTCGTGGAGGGAAATTAAGGCAACTATGCTGCCTTTTGGTTGCCATATTAGCATTCCATAGTATACGTTTATGAACAAGCCTCTTTTATGGCAATGCAACGTTTTTTTTCAAAATTTTCAATCAAATTGACTTGAGTCCCAGTGAAAATAGAAAAACATTCACAATAGAGTGCAGACCATATATCCGTGAAAAACTTTGTAAGAAGTTGCACAAATTTGCACAAATTATTAAGTTCAGTAGACCTCAGTAGACCTCAGTAGACCGTAGATCTACAAACTCTACACTGATTTGTAAAATTTTGTTTGTTAACTTTTTCAAACATATAATTGTATGCACTCTACCCTTTGATGCTATTTGCTCCCACATTTAGAACACTTCAAAGCCAAGTAACAGTCTTCGGTGATTTCCAAATTTGAGTGCTAATTTTCAATGAAAATACCTTGATTCCTTGATATCTGCTCCACATTTAGAGCATATTGACATCTTGATGCAGCATTTATTATATTGTACATTACATAAGTCAATGACATCAGGTACTTACACCTCGTTGTCGTCCAAGTCATCTGATGATCCCTTGGCTACGACGAGATCCAAGACACTCTAAATGCAAAGAAAACTATTTGGAAAATCTTTAAAAGTATTTGCGTCAGAGGAAAATAGGGAGGGCCGGTTTGATGACTTCAAAAATTAACCAATCATAGTGCAGATAGATGCAAAAGCGCATCTATATGGGAAGCACGGGTGGCGTGCGTTGTTACGTAATGTCCGTCTAATCTCTGGGGTCTCGCATTTGATTACTTGACTTGGCATCACGTGTGAGTAGAGTTTGTTGATTCGGAGGGTACGCTTTCTGCGGGTTATCAGGTTTATGAGGTTGTTTCAGGGTTCTATCTGTGAGTTAGCCATGCCCTGACTTAGATCAGCCCAGAGGTTGTTTCAGGGTTCAATCTGTGAGCTAGCCAAGCCCTGACTTAGATCAGCCCAGAGGTTGTTTCAGGGTTCTATCTGTGAGTTAGCCATGCCCTGACTTAGATCAGCCCAGAGGTTGTTTCAGGGTTCAA